GCGGCTGTCACAGCATGTGAGTACTAAACTAAGTTCTCATTCACACACAAGTTTACAATAAAAACACACACGAGTTACAAAAACAGTCGGTTATTTTTCAATTTTGAAATTTTAAGTTTACATAAACTTTTAATAAATCTATCACTAGATCAATTAGGCCAAATTATGCCTGATGTATAAGGACCTGCATATTTTAAGGACCAGTTTAATCCAAGTTTAAAAGGTTTATGGGGGATGAAATCAGTGAAATTACAATTACGATGTATCAACCCATTCATGTGTAACGACATGACTAAGTGCATTTTCACCTTTTTAAAGCAGCTGGATGTCACTGCAGGCTGTTAATGTTGTCCCAATGTGAGTGAGTGTTCTCTGTCCTCTCTCTCTCTCTCTCTCATATTCTATCTTCCTGTCTCTCTCCCCCTTCCCCTCCCCAACAAAAGAATTTCAATAGGTTTCACAGCTGGTTATATAATTGCACTTATTTTTGAACTTCCTGGTAATTTTACAGTATCCCAGGCAGCATTTTTAACGCCAAAGTCTTGGAATGAGCATATTATGCACTTAAATGTAACAATTCATATTCCCTGGAATGATTTTTCCTAAACCCCAGAATTACTTTTTTTTTTTTTTTTTTAATTACAGTTATTAAAGCCTGCAAATGAACAGTCCTAGATCTAGATGAAGTGCTATATGAGTGAAGTCCACTGATGTAAATATAATGTGCGTGTAATTGTACATTGCATTAAAGAACTCCGTGATATATTACTAAAGAGTAAAGACTACAATGAAAAAAATGATGTAGAAACAGTTTTCACAGAAATGGCTAGTAAAATCCACGCTCAATTAAGAAACAGCAAGTAACACACTGAATTAAACATGCCATTTTGGAGTAGAAAGACTGAAATAATTTTTTCTTGTAAAAAATACCTAACTTTTTCCCCTCACATGTGACAAAGATGGATGACTGTGTGAAGACCAATTAATCACACTGAATATGGCATTTTCAATTGCAATCACTGCCATTACACATTTCACACGCATGAAAAAAAAAAAATCAGATAGGCCTAAATATCTCCAAATATTTAAACAGTGAAAGATTTAAACATAAATGAATAATAAATATTTTATTTAAAATTCAACTTTTCACTCAATTTGTTGTATATATCACTCAGTTTGTAATTAGTAGATTAGTACATAGAGTAAAAAAAAAAAGATGAAGATAACAGTAAATAAATAAATAACAGTGGCCTCCGACTTTTGAACCCCACCATGTAGCCTATATAATTTTATTTATTGTGTGTGTGTGTGTATATATATACAGTATATATATATATACTGTAAAAAAAATACATGTAGTGTATGTACAAGTCATTGGTGTTTGGTGGTGAGTTTTTGGCTCAAGGTCTGAATTTAAAGTCACACCAGAGGTGTTCAGCAGGGATTAGAACTTGGCTTATGCAGACCAGTCAAGTTCTTCCACACTGACTGAATCAATCATTTCTTTTTGAACCTTGCCTTAGTTATACACAGAGGCATTGTCATGTTAGAATAGAGAAGGGTCCTGTTGAAACTGTTGCTATAAAATTAGAAGCACACACTTCCCTAGAATATCATTATATGCTTAAACATTAAGATTTGTATGGGAATTACTATAGTCAAACCTGTTCTTTAGAAGGGGGTGTCCCAATACTTTTTGCAATATATATATATATATATATATATATATATATATCAGTGGTATAGTGGTCTTCTGAAATGAGGAGGCAAAAAGTTTTTTTTTTTTGGATCAAATGTAAATTCATGTCCCAGTCACATCATTTTCTTGGTTAAATAAACATTACTTACAGAAAGTAAGAAAAAAAATCAATTTAATATTTTTATATTAATGCAATCAATATTCTATTTATTAAAGCCATATGAATCTCATCAAGTTAGTGTTTTTAAGCATTGTACTTTTATTCCAAAATAATAACTCAAGGCAGTAACAATTTAAACAATATGTTTTATTTGTGAACTTATATATGTTCAGCTGTTCTTTTTATTAGTTAACTTGTAACTATTTTTGAATTTTTCGGATCATCAGTCATCAAGGCTCGGTAAATATTGGTCACAGACACAGAGATTTAAGCCTAAATTTCACCAAGCTGATTACTCACTAAAAACTCTCACAGATCATGTTTTCGTGCCATTTCAAGTCTTATTTTGATGTAACAAAGTGGTTATATCTAAGTTTATGAGTTGTTTACTTACTTTTTTCAGTTAGTCTTCTGCCATTATATTGTTCATTCAGATCCACGAACGATTTATTGCCTGGACCAATCACAGCCAAACATAACCAGTCATATCCAATCATATCGCGATACATTGCCTTAGTTAACTTGTAACTATTTTTGAATTTTTCGGATCATCAGTCATCAAGGCTCGGTAAATATTGGTCACAGACACAGAGATTTAAGCCTAAATTTCACCAAGCTGATTACTCACTAAAAACTCTCACAGATCATGTTTTCGTGCCATTTCAAGTCTTATTTTGATGTAACAAAGTGGTTATATCTAAGTTTATGACTTGTTTACTTACTTTTTTCAGTTAGTCTTCTGCCATTATATTGTTCATTCAGATCCACGAACGCGCATGAATACAAGAGGCGGGATTTATTGCCTGGACCAATCACAGCCGAACATAACCAGTCATATCCAACTTTTTTCAGTTAGTCTTCTGCCATTATATTGTTCATTCAGATCCACGAACGATTTATTGCCTGGACCAATCACAGCCAAACATAACCAGTCATATCCAATCATATCGCGATACATTGCCTCCTCTCACGTGACTTTCCCCCATTCATTCTCAATTACCCGCATCAAACTTAGGGGGTCTGTTAAAACTCAAAGGGCTCAGGGGAGGCCAGAGAGATGCGGACTCCCGCTGTAACTTTACCTGCTGGTTTTGCTGGACAATGTCTCTTTAAAAAAAATGAATAATTTATACACTTTTTAATGCTGTATTTTGTAATATTGGCGTTGTTTTATTTTTTTACTACAATTTTTTTTCTCATCCAATATTTTGATGCCCCTGAATACACACACACACACACACACACACACACACACACATGTAAACTTTCATCTTCTCAACCTCATAGTTAAAAGGTCATGTGCACAACCTCAGAAAATACTGGATTTCTGCAGAAAATCTGATTTGATCCACATTCAGCTGAGGTGTGAATGTAGCCAGAGACTCAGTCACATGAGGATGTTTTGACCTGAAATGAAGGGTTATCTTACTGTATTAGCTGAAAAGAAATACAGCATTTAGATTAAAAAAAAAAAATTATGTTTTGGTTTGTTGCTAAATTTGTTTTAATACAGCAAATGGCATTCATTCAAATCAACAAATGTAATTTTTTATGACAATTAGCATGCTGTTCGTGCACTGTGTGATATTTTCCAGTGACCTAGTAAGAAGACGGATCAATAGAGCATTAGCAAAATGGTAAGCTGAGGACAAGATACACTAACATCCCAGTTTCATGTGTTCATTAATTGTTAGTTAAGCACAGAAATGTGTATATATACTGGCCTAAAAGGTGAACCCAGGGTATACCTATGACGATAAATTAGCGAATAACTACATGTAGGACAGGTGTACTTTTGCGTTACCCATTACCTTGAAGAATTTAGGATTTGGAGAAGAATAGCAGGTTTTCTGAGCTGTTGTTCCAAAATTGAATTTCACAATACAAATCCTAAACAGTCCAGAGGGTAGTGGTTCCACAGTGTTAAGGGAAAGTGAACAGTGAAAGCTAGAGGCGTTGCTAATGCAGAGATTGAGCAGATAAGAGGCAGGGTAATTGGAGCAGTCGAGAGAGAAATCAGCACTTGAGAGCTTCCTCTCATTTCTGACAAACCTGTACTCAGATTGTATGTAGGCAATGGACAACACTCTCAGAAAACAGCACATTACTTAACCAGCAGGTTATTGCTCTTTGGACCCAGAGAGTGAACTCGGTTTGACCTTGCAGAGTTCATCTGCGTCAACTGTCAGCATTAAGGTCCTGAAACACTTTAATCTGCACCAGTCTCCGTACAATAGGTCACTATTCTGTCTAGTGGCCTTTTTGGTCATGTACTAGAGTGTGGAAGCAAATATATGTGCGGTTCAGTTCAAAATGAACCCTGGGGTGCTGTAGTCAAGGCTGAATGAATGGCAGTTAAGCTGTGATACCAGTAAGATGTTAGTGAAGGATTAATAATTAGAGTTACAGTTTTACAGATGATAGCTGAAGTGAAAGAAAAATGCTGTTATTTTTTACTCGTGGTACATGTCATTATAAACCTGCATGGAACATAAAAGTAGATATTTAGAAGAATGTTGAAGCTGCTCTTTTTTTAAGTAGCCTGTGCAAATTATTGCGCTATATTGCAAGACTTCTGAAGCCATACGATAGCTTTGAGTGCTGAAAAATGTGAATTATTTTTGTTATTCACTCCACTTTTACGTTACCGCATTCAAATCTCAATTTTAGTTGTTTTTAGATGGGAATAGATGGAAATTTATTTTATGAAGCTTCTTTTAGGAATTTTATTTATTCAACACAACATGTTGTCAGATGTTCTGTGCTAGTTCATTTGATCAACAGTCCAATAAAAAACGGAATATTGTGAAAATTATTGCAATTAAAAATGTTCTATTTGGATATATTTTAAAATGTATTTTTCTTCTGTCATGCAAAGCTGAATTTTCAGCATCATTACTCCAGTCTTCAGTGTCACGTGATCCTTCAGAAATCATTCTAATATTCTGATTTACTGCTAAAAAAAAAAAAAAACATAATTTAGGCTATTTGAAACATTTGTAACATTATTATTATAAGTTGCTAAGAAAAAAATCATCTGCTAAATGAATAAATATAAATGTAAATTTATTAAACAAAAGTTTTGGACTTGATAGTTAAAATAAAAAACAGAATCATTCAAATTAAATTTAAATGATAAAATAAGCCATTTGTAACAATGAATGGCTATTTTATACATTATGATAAAAAACATATATTTTATACAGTGGAAGAAGAAGAAGGAATAAGAGTTTTTTTGTTATTGGACATCAATTCTGTTCCCTTTAAAGTGTTTTTCCCCTCATGCACAGGGAGAAAAAACCCCCCATAAAGGAACCTTCTTCTGACACTGAATAACCGTATAGACTATTATGCTGCAGGTACTTCAGTATTTTAGCTTAGAGCGGGAGTCTGACTTGACCAATGCTTAATGGTCCCACGTGGATACCATGGCAACACGTAATTTCAGCTTTGTTTGGCATTGCTGTGTGTGTATGCGCCGTGTTCTTTCAATAGCTTATTTAGGATAAAGGTCTTGCCCTGGAGGACACGCTCTAGATTTCTGCGCTACACAGATCATGCAAAGGGTATGTTTCCTGAACTCTGAACACCTGCTCTGCTTTACAATTACATTCACAGCCGGGAGTGATTCAGCCTGCTCATAAATAACTGTCTAATGTTTATGTGATGATTGATACATGATTTATTCACTGTGATTTTATTATTGGAGCTTTCAGACAGCTTGGTAGTAAAGGTGGTTTAGATGTAGTCATTTGTGTGAACCATGGATGTGATATTGGTAAGTTTAATACACTGCTGAAATTGTCTCATTGTATTGTGTTGTTTAGAATTTTTTTTTTCCCAAAATCATCTGACCATTTAACATAACTGTATTTCTTCTCTCAAATTTAAAGAGAATTCATAAAATTTGTATTGCTATGCCTTTTAATTGTTTTATAGATTATGTATGATTGCAATCAGCCTCTCTCTTGCTTTCTGTGCTTGTTCTCCTTTTAGGACCAGTTCAGATAGAGTATAAATATATATTTAAATAATGCATGCTGATATTACATGCTGAATGAAGATGTTGCACAGGTTTATTATATTCTGTATAATGGGTGTGTATATTTATATATATGTATGTGTGTGTGTGTGTATATATATATATATATATGTGTGTGTGTGTGTGTGTGTGTGTGTGTATGTATGTATGTGTGTGTGTGTGTATTATATTCTGTACTCTAGAGGGTGTGTGTGTGTATATATATATATATATATATATATATATACACACATGTATGTATGTACGTGTGTGTGTGTGTGTGTGTGGAGTACATTTACACATATATATTCACTCTTAAAAATAAAGGGGCTTCACGATGCCATAGAAGAGCCTTTTTGTCTAAATGGTTCCATAAAGAACCTTTAACATCTGAAGAACCTTTCTGTTTCACAAAAGGTTCTTTGTGGCAAAAGAAGGTTCTTCAGATTACAAAAAGGTAAGAAAGAGATGGTTCTTTAAAGAACCTTTGACTGAATGGTTCTTTGTGGAACCAAAAATGGTTCTTCTGTGGCATCGCTGTGAAGAACCTTTTGAAGCACCTTTATTTTTAAGAGTGTTTATGAAGTGCTACAAAAATAAAATATGCAAAGGTATAACAAATGCTAAACGGACACAAAGGTGCTTCGTGTGAAATGTGTCGACCAAGGCAATTCAAAATATTACCATTCTGTACTGAGGCCGTGCAAATATTATGTCTCTGGATATTGTGTGCCGGAGGCAGATGCTGCAGTTGTGCAAATATTATGAGGATGTGCAAAAGGTTAAGATTAAAGCAGGAGCCGGTATTAACAGCAGTGCAGTACAGTATGAGGAAGTGATAGTGATTGTGGTCATAGTGCTGTATGTTTAATAGTAATTAATCATCCATCCACCTATTTCTTCTTTGGAGCCATAGTAAATTAATCTGTAGTAGTTTAGTGAATGCAGCCTAATTTTGGATGCTCAGCAGCTTGTGCTTTTCAGATTTATGAAGTCATCTCTACTTGAACTCATTATTAGGAGAGATGTCATTGGTGGTAATGAGAGGATATGTGTGATATAGTGATGTGTGCCTTTTGTTGCAGTGCTTATTTCAGCTCAGGATGAGTAAAGAATTGGAGGAGCTTTCTCCCCTGGACGACTCGGGACATGGTGATGGGTCTGAGGAAGAAACAGAGGAGGATGATGAGCCCAAAATTTGTCAAGTATGCGGCGACAAATCCACAGGCTACCACTTTAACGCCATGACCTGTGAGGGCTGCAAGGGCTTCTTCAGGTGAGTGAGCAAACTGATTTTTCCCAGCTGCTCCTCCTTCAACAGATGTGTGGAGGAATTGTAATTGAGGATTATATACTCCCCCTCATGTCCTTCCAAACCTGTATGGCTTTCTTTCTACTGAGATGTTTTGCAGAAAGTCCAAGCTGATAGGGGGAGTAACTGACTAAATGATTACCGAATTGTCATTTTTTGATGAACTGTACTTTTAATAATTGATCCAGTTGACCCAACTGTCCCAGTACACTCTTAAAAATGAAGGTTCTTTATAATTGGCATTGATGGTTCCATGAAGAACCTTTAAGATGTATGCAATCTTTCAAATGCAGAAACTGTTGACTGAAAGGTCCTTTGAGGAACCTTTTTGTGTAGGAACAAAACTTGTCAAAGGACATCAAGGATATGTATGTTAAAATATATTTGCAGAGTGTGTCCAATAGTTTTTATAACAAACCTTGGAGAAATGGTTCGCTTACTGAGCTGAAAATGTCAAATATGACCTTTAGGATGTACACAGAGCTTTAAAAACGGCTAAATCATCATTCAATTTTTGACTGTTGTGATTTGCATAATTTTTTTGTAAGCAGCCTTTGAAAAAGAAAGTAATTATAGGGTACAGTAGCACATTTGAATTTGTGGCCAGCCCACACGCTTCACAACACATCGTGTGTCCAACTGCAGTCACATGGTAATTGTTTGTTTCCCAGGGTGCTTTCAGCATTTTTAAAAACATGAGAATTATACTGGTCAATGTACAAAAGATGTGAATATCCAAATGCTTTTTTAAGAAAGCAATATTAGCCACTATTGACATTGCTGCTCTTTTGGATCATTGTTGTCATATACAGACAAATATTATAATTAATAGACAGCAGGGTCTGGTTTTAAATCGATAGCCCACACAAAAGTAATATATTTTTTTAATTATTTATTCACCCTCATGTCTTTGCAAACCGGTATGATGTTTTTTTCTCCTGTGAAACACAAAGGATATTTTTGAAGTGTTGTTTTGGACCCCATCGACTTTCATTGTGTTGACTACAAACGTTATTTAAAATATTTTTATTAGCTCTTTAAAACAATGTCATACAGGTTTGAAAAGACATGAGGGTGAGTAAATAATGATTCATTCAAAATTCATTTTTGGGTGAACTAACACTTTAACCAGGGCTTGGGACAAAACAGATATTTAAAATGAGGGGGTCCAAAAATGCCTTCCTAATGCATTCCTCTGATTATATGTGAGCTAACATTTGACCTGTTCTATTATATGTATTCTATTCTATTCTGTGGTAGGCTGGTTAACCCTAGTAAAAAAAGTAGTATATTTAAAGTACATTTATTTCATACCAAGTATAGTTCAAATCTATTACCATATTTACTGACATATTGCTCGAGACTTACTGATATAAAAAAAAATAATACAGTAATTAAACTTTATTTGGAGTATCACTTGTGCACAATGCACATTTCTTAAAATGTGTTTTAATCTCACTATTGATGAGGATTGTATGATCTTTAAATAATATCGGTCTTCAAATGCAAGATATTTAAAGTGCACGTAAAGTATACTTGCAATAGTTTCACTTTAGCACAATCAGATATACTTCTGTAGTTGGATTTCAGCACTACTTAGTACTTACTCACAATTAAAGTGCATTAGGTACAAAATTAGTTGTTCCAATTTAGCAGACTTTAAGTATAGTATACTAAAAAGTACAATTGCCAGGTATTTTTATAAAGTACATAAATATGTCAATATATTTGTAGTATACTTTGCATGTAATACACCGGTAGACAGTCATGCTCGTATCTTGCGGTGTCCTACTTTTCTGCAGTCAGTAAGATTGACTCTAGCATATACCTGTGTGTTTGTTTGTAAGGCGCGCCATTAAGCGACCCGCACAGCTCTGCTGCCCGTTTCAGAACGCTTGTGTCATCACTAAGAGCAACAGGAGACAGTGCCAATCCTGCCGACTCCAGAAATGCCTCTCAATCGGCATGAAGAGGGAATGTAAGTTTGCTTGAGCCTTACTTTCCGTGTTCCCGAATCCTTAAGAAAGCAGAGCTCAAGGCAGTGTGATATAAAACACCAATGTTTGATTACGTTTATTAGCCTAATAATAGTAAACAGAGTGATGAACGGTTCTTCCACCAAGTAATTTGTTGAAGATTGAATTAGTCTGTAGGCTGCGCGTGGTTGTCAAGCAACAAGACAGCTTGCTGTATTAATATAAAATTGTGCGTTCACCACCCAGACAGCAGACAGTTTCAGCCCAGATCCGGCCCACATCTGGCCCGCATGGATTTCACATGGGCCAGATGTGGGCCGGATCTGGGCCAACACTATGTTGCTGTCTGGGCAGCATGACACATGACAGCATTTGTTCTGCACTGCAGATTTTTACCTTATCACTTATCACAACCCAGTCGGACCTTCGCTCATTTTCTTGCATGTGTAATATAATAAGCATGTTTAATGTATAATACACTACTGTTAGTTTTTTTTAAAGAAATGAATACTTTCATTCAGCAAGGATGCATTTAATTGGTCAAAAGTTTTAAATAAATGCTGTTCTTTTAGGCTTTCTATTCATCAAAGAATCACGGTTTCCACAAAAATATTAAGCAGCACAACTCTTTTCAACATTGATAATAATAAGAAATGTTTCCTGAGAATCAAATCATTATATTAGAATGATTTCTGAAGGATCATGTGACACTGAAGACTGGAGTAATGATGCTGAAAATTCAGCTTTGCATCACAGGAATAAATTACATTTTAAAATATATTCAAATAGAAAACCGTTCTTTTAAATTGTAATACAATTTCGTAATATTGCCATTTTTACTGTATTTTTTTATACCTAATTGTGTATACAAATTTCATAGTGTAACCTTCACTTCAGTTCATGCGGTTCTTTTCATCAGTGATCATGTCGGATGAGGCCGTGGAGAAGCGGAGGATGCAGATCAGGAGGAAGAGGATGCAGGAGGAGCCTGTAACGCTCTCTCCTCAACAGGAAACTGTCATTCAGGAGCTGCTCACTGCACATCACAAGACCTTCGACATGACTTGCACCAACTTTATTCAGTTCCGGGTAATATATTTACCTTATTATGATTGTCCGATTGAGATTCAGACAAATGTGTCTACTGAAAATATGTTTTTAAGCACTGTCTTTATCAGAGGTTTTATGTCCGCAGCCTTTAGATCGGGATCAGAAATCCATTTCTGAGCACGGTCTAGAACCGAACAGTGGCAGGGTCTTTCACGTAACCATGCACAAAACACCGTCTGAAGATGCAATGCAACGGAACATCAGCCTTTCCTCGCCCTCGTCCCCTTCCTCCAGCTTTCAGAGTCCTGAGAATAAAGAGCGGAAGCAACATAAAAGTGTCATTTTCACTACTCTGCCACATTTTGCAGACCTCACCACGCACATGATCAAGAATATAATCAACTTCAGCAAAGCGCTTGCAATGTTCAGGTGAATACTGGCTCTTACATCTGAAATAAAGATTCATCACTGGTGGTTTATAAGATTATAATGAAGTTGTGTTTTGAATGGCAGGGCTCTAATCATAGAGGACCAGATCGCGCTGCTGAAAGGTGCCACCTTTGAGATCATTCTGATCCACTTCAACATGTTCTTTAATGAGGTGACAGGCATCTGGGAGTGCGGCCCGCTGCAGTACTGCCTGGATGACGCCATGAGAGGTGAGGGGCTTCGTAGATCTCCATTAACCTCAAGGTCACTATTCAAGAGATTTTTTTTTTTTATGAATAAATACTATTATTCAACAAGGATGCGTTAAATTGATCATTAGTGACAATTATAATGTTACAATTACAACAAAATAATTTTATTTCAAATAAATTATGTTCTCTTGATTGCTCTATTCATCAAATAATGTTTCTTAAGCAGTAAATCATCATATTAGAATGATTTCTGAAGTATGCTGTGACACTGAAGACGGGAGTAATGATGCTGAAAATTCAGCTGCGCATCACAGGAATAAATTACATTTTACAATATATTTAAATAGAAAATAGTTACGTAAGATTGTAATAATATTTCACAATATTACTGTATTTTTGATTAAATAAATGCTTTTAAATAAAATAAATAAATACACTTTTTTTTCCAAAAACATTTAAAAAATTGTTCGACCTCAAATTTTTGAATAGTAATATGAAGCATAGATTCACATTTTTAGAAAATATTATTTAAAAATATTACTGTTTTTAACTTTATTTTTTACAGTTGAACATAAAGCGACTTTTTTCAAAAGTGTAAACGAATCTTAATGACCTCAAAAGTTTAAATAGTAGTGTATACCACTTATAGCATTTTTAATTTTTAAAAAGTAGCAAAAAATAGATTCTGTACCAAATAACCTGTTACAATGTGTTGCTGACAGACAGGCAGGGTACTGTGTTTAGTCCTTAACACAAAGTTTTTAATCCAAAACACACTGGCAAACAGCACAGACAAGAGGTACAACACCATAAACGTAAGCGAGACCGGACCAAGAACACAGAAAAAGGAAGAAATTAAATACCGATACAAACAAGGTAAATTAACGAAACACAGCTTAACTGAAGATCTAATCAAATCAGAAACCATGTCAACAAACAACAAGTGGGAAAAATCAAACAAAGGGAGACAGGAACTAAAGAATACAAACTAAAAGTCCATGAAACTGAAACTAACTTAACGTCTCCATACAGAACCATAACGTAGTATCTGTTTTTTGTTAACTCTGTGTTAAATACTTACAGATGAAAGGTAATTTATCTCAGATTATTTTCTTTTTTTTTTTTAGAACTTAATAGACACAAAGCACAAGTAACACAAATCTGCTTTACATTATGTACTACATTATAGGCCTACGCTCTTGAGCTAAAAACAAAAGACAAAACGACAAAGTACTGTAATTATAAAACGGATGCTACCGAATCTTTAGACTGGATATGTCACATTTAATCCTGTAATTTGTAATGTTTTCCCAGAAACTGTGAACTACATGTTCACTCTAAATGACGACTTCTTCCTCATCTTGACTTGTTTGAGATGCATCCTGTTCACATAACTCCATATTTATTTCTGCATTGATCTTGTGTGTAAATTACATACATATATATATATATATATATAATATCGCATGCGATATTTAACGCGCATCTTGTCAGAAAAGACGGTTCTGTAATCAGCGGTAAATCTCCATCACCTGCGGGCTTTCACATTGAGCAGCATTAACTACACAGAGCCGTTGTTCACTGACGAGCTGCGCAAAAAATCGCGCAAATATGAACGTGGTTTTGCGCAGCTCGTCAGTGAACAACGGCTCTGTGTAGTTAATGCTGCTCAATGTGAAAGCCCGCAGGT